AATTTAGTATACTTCAATAGTTGAGTGTTTGTAAGTCCTAGAAGTTGTCATAAGGTAGCCAACAATCTTGGGGCGGACTGCTCTACATTAAGCCACGTGATAGTGACCCCAGAAGCGATCTCTTCTTTTAGTTGGAATTTCCGACACCTGTGATTTCGTAATCACCATATGACCAATGACTTCGGCTTTCTGTCATTCTCTAAGCGTGGACTTCTTCACATCAATTCTCCAAGGACCAAGGTAAGTAGGCTGCTTGCAATTTGTACCCCTTACCAGAGACCTGGGGATGGACATTCTTTTCATCCGACCACACTGCCCATAAGAATTTATGTAATGTCAGAAATTGTTTGGTTTGGAAGGATTCTGATCAAATTTTTGAAATCTTTGTACAAATATTGTTAGAGTTCATAAGACCATTAATCCTCATCTCGCATGGAGTTTGAATAACATAATCTCCGTATCAAATCAATATAATACGAAAATACATAGATCAGCAGGCAGAGTATAGGCTTGTGAAACCAACCCTAATTATTAAGGTTCCTATTATACTTGAAACAGGGGAGCAGCCACCTTTTGTATTATTAGGCTTTTAGAATTAGGCTTATAGAATTAGCCCTATGATAATGGAAGGTTTAGCTGGATTAGTAGGCAAAGAAAATTCAACAAGGGAGTTTCTGCTATTATTGGCTGCATGCATAGCTATTACCTAGGCATGCTTTGTCTTTTGATTAGATGTATGATTGAAATTCTTTTGGCACCACCACTAATCTTCTAATCTTCCCACACTTGCTAATTCAGCAGGTGGAAGGACACTACCAGACATTAAGGAAAAGGAAGAAACCCACCTGTCTTCTTGTGTCATGGGAAGAACAATAGAAAATTGTGTGTGTTGGATTGAATTCTCAAGACTTGGAAGAAAAACAAAACCATTAAATACCACTCAATGGAGATGATGAAGTGCAAGGGTCACTATGGTAATTGTCATATTTAGGATGATGGCCCTATCATCGATAGTAGATTAGGTTATCGAATAACAAGAGCAATTTCAATTTTATCTCCTACTATTTTCTCTATATAATCTCTTCTTCTTTTACGTCCAGTTATTCTTTCAAAAGATCTCAAAATAACGTTAAACATGTTTGAACCTAATTCTATCGAGAGTTATAAGTACATCTAAGACCCATCAAGAATTGAAAGCTCACAAAACCTATCAACGACACAATGCACTTCAACTCATCTTTGGTCCGGAGCCAATGACCCCTAACCAAAACCCTTTATAAGGATATCTTTCCGCCACCACAACGTTTCGTCTTTGTCGGTGTGGCTCATATTTAAAAACTATACAAGAATGGAAAATGAAAAAGATTTCAGATATGTTTTCTGAATTTATATAATCAACGAATTAATATAGGTAAATGAAAAATAAATGCTTTTATCTTAATATACAAGTGAAACAATGCATTATTGTCATCACTTCTTTTGCTGATTAAGTGGCCACTATCAACACTGTCCAGACTCTTTTTCCATGAAAAGAGAGCATCAAAACACCATCCTTTTCTGCCATTATTGTGTTCCATTTCACTTCTTTTTCTTCTCAATTCTAGACAACCTCAGTTTCCATACAAGCCAAAGGGAAAGGAGTGCAGATTGTCCTTTGCCACAAATGAACAGTTCTAACACTATAGAGAAAAAGCATATAGAGCTTCACCTTGCTGCTGAGATTGATTGAACCAACTGACATGTGTGTTTTCTAAGTACAGTGGAGGGCCATTTCCCTGAATGGCAAAAAGACCTTTTCTTCTTTTCCCTCTTCCATCTTTTTGCATTGCAATGTTGGTCCATTGAAGGCATAAACTCTCCACTAATGAGTTTGATGATCATGGAAAAGTTAATAAAAACAAAGTTATCAGCACTGGAATATGGAAGTTGAAGCCATGTGGGACTCTGCTTTTTCATCCTTTTGCTTTTGTGGAGAGCTTCTTTTGCTAGCCAACAATTTTGGAAGTTGTCATGGAAGGGACAGGGACGACAGATCGAGGACCTCCCATGGCTTCCAAGTTCCAACTATTGAAGTCATAGAAACATAATGATCCAAGACATCCTATATATGCTTAAAGTTCTACTCATTATTTCACTTATACATAAAAACTATAGTTTAACTACGTTGCGTACAAGCTTCTATAAGTAATACGTCCACATGCATCCAGCGATTAAGGATCATGGATGCATATGGTCCAATGATGTGACTAAGGCATCAAACTCCAACGAGAAGCCGTAGAAGGTGAAAATCTCATGTACGGTTCTATAAAGTGACAGTAAGAGTGACCTACGTATATATTGTCAAGAACCAGTTGCTCCCAATAACTCGAGTTGTTGGGAGAATGTTCTGTTGGATCTTATACTAAGATCTAACACGCCCCCGCCAACTCATGGGCTTGAAGTTTGCACAGGCCCACCATACCATGTGCTTGAAAGACAACGGTTAATATTGAGGGTCGTGGAGATTCGAACACATGACCTTTTGGTTCGAGGCTCTGATACCATGTCAAAAACCAGTTGCTCCCAATAACTCGAGTTGTTGGAAGAATGTTCTGTTGGATCTTATACTACACTCTAACATATATGTCAACTTCACTATCACCCAAAAAAACCAAACTCCGCCCCCCACTCAAATTCGGGTCTGGCTACTCTTATGTCAACCTCTTAACACCTCAACATCACCCATCCAAACTAACAGATGGAAGTAAAAAAAAGAACTAACAGCTTGTATATGGAGTCAAACAACAAGCCAAAAAGAGAAGGCTTGTGCATGATCAGTCGCTAACCCTGGGATTCCCATGTTGGGGAAAATAGAATAATATAATTTTATCTGTACAAATATGTGGACTGGACAGCCAGGATTTGATGGCCATGAATGATCAAGAACAGAGACAGAACCACTATGTTACAAATTTTATCATGAAGATGGGGATTTTGTCTGTCACGGGCAGTACCCAAAGAACCAGCATCTCAGGCGTTGCGCGGCTGGTGCTGGTTGGATCGAGTGGTGCAAATTGGATTGGATAGACAGTTCAAAGAACCAGACATATCATCCTTGAATTCAGCACCTCTCTCTCTTTCTGCTGAAATGACAATCGGGGCTTCTCTACAGAAAACAAAATGACCCAACACCCGACCCAATCTGAACCGATCCAATCCAAAACCCAATCAAAACTGCGCTATATGGGTGGATGTGGGGTCCTGATATCAAGTCCTAGTGATCAAACTTGTAATTTAGCAAATCATAAAAGAAACAATTTTTTAAAGTACGTCGCGGTTTTGTGTGTTCATTCAACTAAAATACTTATGTGCAAGAAGATTTTTTTGGAAGCAAGAGTCTTGGGTGCACTGGCTCTAGGAGGGAGGCACCAGCACACAGCTCTTTCATCTATCTACTATGCAACGAAGGCACACTAAATTCGTTGTTGAGATACGCGATTCACCTGGATCGTACATATTAATTAGACATGCCCAAAAAATTAGTGACACTATTACATTCTCTATAAATGTGAGATATGAGCCTTCGAGTTGAGTGGCAATAGACGATTAAATTCCAATGTCGGGAATTCATGTCTATACTCATCATTGTGCCTCTCTTTAACGATGTTGATGGCTGTACTAGTGAGACTAAAACATGGTTGATACATTCATTAAACAAAGTTGACAATCGTATTACACTTGTTCTGTATATATACATCGTTTGGTTCATCAAGCATCAAACAAATAACTAGAAACGAGATACACAATATTACTGATTTAACTTGCAATCTAATGATGGACAAATGGCCTTCGATAATCCTCTCGAACAAGGACAAGCTCACTTGCAACAAATAATTAGATATGCCAAACTAGGCCAATCCTTAGCGAGATTGGCTCTGCTTAGTTGAAGCCAACAAACTGTAGCTTCCAACATATGAATCTCGTAATTTCTCATAGTTTGAAATCGAAGTAGGCCAGAAGCTAACCTTAGACTGAAACACAGAATTCGTATATTCTAAATTTCTGTGGTTAACTAATAACACGGCCTCCTCCTTTCTCAAATCACAAGAAAAAACCATCGCTATACATCGAAGAGGCCCGTGATAGTGAATCAAACATTCAACAAAAATAATTTCCGACTTCTCCGAATGTTGACCAACTACTCTACCCCTCACCTGAGTCTGAGATCTTGATTTCAGGGATGTTACCAATCAACTTATTCAGCGACACTTAGATAATGTCTTCTCCAACGACCTCCAACTTCGTCTTCTTCCAGTCTCCACACACTCAGAACATCATTCTCTCCGTCCCAATCCAATGGAGAAATCAGATGCAGAGCACCTTGCGAGGGGAAAAAAAGCAGCAACTTGGTGCAGAAACCCAACAGGTAGTACTTGAAAAGCACCCACATCTCCACCTCCGAGCCGCCTGTACTCCCTGTTCTTCTCGGACCATCATCATAAACGAGGAACAGAGCAACCGCCGACTCCTCGCGCTTCGACAAAATAAAAACTTTCAGAAGCCCAATTTGGATTCTGAACAGGGTAAGGCACATACAGTTCCTGGACAGTTTCTCTGGCCATGTCGAATGAAGTGACACATAAATCCCACCCTCTCGGCTGCCACCAATACAGCTTCCCCTCGTGGAATTGCGGGGCTTGGCCGGAGGGAAGATTTGCAGCACGAATCGAAACCAAATCCAACCATAGTTTGAAGTTCATTAAATAAGTTCAATGAACGTATTATAATGGTTTTATCCGCATTTTTTAGTGCATCAAGCATCAAACAAGAAACAACACGCTAGAAACGGGACAAAAAAGAAAGAAGATATAAACTTGGATAATCCAATCGAATCAAGTGTATGGAACTACAAGTTTTCCAGTAAGAAATTGAGCCGTCATTAATGTCCAGGCAAGTGAGAAACCACCTCTCATCTCAACCATTCAATGGTTCGCATGCCAATCCTTTGCGAGATTTGGGCTCTACTCTGTTGAAATCAACGAACTGTACCTTCCATCATACGCAACTCGTAATTTCTCATAGTTTGAAATCGGAGTAGGCCAGAAGTTAACCTTAGGCTGAAACGCAAAAATTCTATATCCTATATTTGTCTGGTCAGCGAATAACTCCGTCTCCTCCCGCCTCAGGTCGCACGAATAGAGAGTCGCCGTATAACGAAAAGGCTTATAATGACGAATCGAGTATTGTACAAAGATAACCTCGGGCTTCTCTAGATGTTGACCAACTACCTTACCGTTGACCCAGTCCGAGCTCTTGATTTCAGGGATGTTACCAAACAACTTATTCAACGACACTTGATAATGTCTCTTCCAACGACGACCTCCTCCTCCTCCTCCTCCTTCTTCTTCTTCTTCCCATCTCCACACACTCAAACTATCCTCTGTTCCGGTCCAATACAATGGTGAAATCAGGTGCAGAGCAGCTTGCGATGAACAAATCGCCGAACAAACTTCGACCTGATCAAAAGAATCCATTAAAATTGGAGCTTCGTCATCATTGTCATCATCTAGTCGGCTGTAAGGATTCCACCCAACAACGACTGATTTCCTGTCATAATCCTTCCAGTACAACTTCCCATTAAGCGAAACAACACCATAATCTAGATCCCACCGTGGAATTGAAGCGAAGAGAGCAAGTTCCGTCCACACCCCTGCTCCCGAACAGAAAACGTCCAATTCTCGACCATACCGGTGCAGGCGCACCACGAGGAACCGATAATCGGAGTGATGGGTGAACGGCTCTTCCCCACCGCCGGAAAACAGAGTGTTGATCGAATCACAGGGCTTGCACACCAATCTTGCTGTAATCGCCGTGGAGCTAGTTTTTGGCGCCAAAGGAAGGGCCACCCACTGCTTTGTGAACGGATTGCAGACCAAGAACGTCCTTCTCAGCTCGCCGTCGGGATTCCTCCCGCCGCTCCGATCCGCGAATTGGACCAGGAGCAAGTCCCTGAAGCAATCCGCAACGAAGGCCTGGAAGGGGGTTTCGTCGCTGGGCAGGGGGAGAAAGCTCCAGATGGGTCCCCGGACGGCGGAGGGTATCAGGAGAGGCGGTTCGAATCGGGGGTGGGAAAGGAAGCGGCGAGAGAAGTAGGGAGTGGAGATGAGGGAGTACCATCGCTTGCAGACGGATTTGCACCGCCAGGCGGATTTGGTGTCCGGGAGGCGACAAAGGACTTCTGCGAGTAGATCGTGGTCCCCGAGTTTGCTGATCCCCGCCGGAGGGGAAATAGCTAGCGTTTTCCGGCGGCTATCATCCTCGGTCGCCATTGTTGCTGTGTGCTGGCGAGGAGATTCGGGTACAAAAACAGGGAGCGGAGACCTAGACCCAACAGAAAGAAGAAAAAAAAGTCCCCCTTTTATTTGTAGGGCCTGATTTTTCCTAATCGCCATGGGTAAAGGGGCTTATCCATAGCTATTTAGGCATGGGCTTTTCGAGTATCACGGAAATTTATCTAGCCCAATCCTTTAAGCGATCCAGCCCACATTACTGGACGCTAGGTGCAAGTTAGAGCAACGCCATCCCAGATTGCTTATTGCTATTGCTTTTGTTTATTGGATGGACAAAAAACTCACCATTAGAATTTCATTTTCAATTCTATTTCATTATTCCACTAGCTTATTACCCGGCCCGTTGGCCGGATTACTGCATGTTACCCACTTGTGGAATGGGAGAGAAAGCAAGTGAGAGTGAAGGTATTGTGATTCCACTTGATTAGGACCGACCCACTAATTCGATTCTTCCCGACCCGCCCCAACCTAAAGGGTCAGAAAGAGTTAATAAGAAAATACGAACGGAGAGGATTAGTCATATATCTTGACTCTTCAGAAGTGGGTCAAACAGGATCAAGATTGGGTGAGGGCAATTTTTAGCGCTAAGCAGAGTTCTGGGTCGAATAACTTCACTTAGGCCTAGAAATTGGTGCTGATGCAGACTGCAGTTTTTATTATACCATCATCAATCATCATTGAATTAGTCCTGAGTATCCCTCCCCGTTGTCGATCTGAATTCTAATGATGGCTTCATTCCTTGCACCAGCCATATCAGCGAGTTGTCATCTCGAGCATGATTTGCCTATGTACAAATGATACAATTAGAGTATGAAACTGAATTCAAAGAAAATGAAAAGAGAATTCTATCACATGCCAATAAATACACACATAATAGTTGAAGCTAAGTGAAAGTCATTACTCGCACATCAATTCTAAAAAATTACAGACTAAACAATGGCTAGAATGGCACTGAAACTACCAAGAATCATGGACGAAACAACTTGTCAAATTAAATAATCCTTATACTGAAACTACCTTCTAACATGAAATAAGACATGATCACAGTTCATAGTAGGGGTGGCTATACGGTCCGGTCCGATTAAATTGGACCAAATTGATCGGTCCCAGTCCGGTCTTTTCGGAAATATAAGGACCAAAGATTGGATTGGACACAGTCCGGTCTTGATCCGGACCGGTCTTGACCCGGTCCGGTCCCAATTTGATCTTGATTTTAGATTGAGCTTGTGGGGATTTGAGTGTTGGGGTCTCTTATCCGGTCTTTATCCAGGTTTTTAACTTAAATCTAAGTCCGAATATGAGATTGGATTGTTTGCTATCCGGTCCCAGTACGGTCCCGGTCCGGGTTTTACGGTCCGGTTTTGGGTAAAACCAAACAGTCCGGACCAAATAGCCAACCCTAGTTCATAGCACTCTTATCACTATGAATTGGTTGCAGCTCGTCCTTATCACTGCCTCCCAAGCTCAATTCAAATAGAATAGAGACCGTTATGTAAGATAACCATATCCTTACTGATCATAAGTCCTTTCTTCACTCCATTTTTGTCGGAGAAAAGAGTTATCCCCCTCTCCTGCATTTCCTTTTCCCTCTCTCTTTCCCCTCTTCTTCACAAACCGATCCCTAAACCAGCAACAACAACACAAAAATAGCCTTCGCCTCTGCCATCTCCATCTACTGAACGCGTTGGTGGCAAGACAGGACTGCAGAAGCAAAATTTTCTAAAATCAAACTAAATTTTTTGAAGGAGACTCAACCACGAAAAAAGAGTAAAGCAACAATGTTAATAGTTCAGATGGTTGGTTTTGATGTTATACGTTGCTTTTGTTATGGTCTCCAGTATATCAATTGCAACAAAGATGTTTCCTCCAATCATCTTTAATGCACGATTTAGAAGTAAGTCCTCTTGTTTGTGTCAAACGGAAACATTCATCGGTTCTTAACTTCCCTGTTAGTGTAAATGCAGCAGCAGCAGCAAAGAAGTTTGACAACACAGCAAGCACCCAGGCAAAATGATACAATGCAGTAGGTGATATGTGTCTCGAAGGTTTTGAGTTACTAAAGTTCATGTTAAAAATAAACATGAATTAAAATGGATCATTCTATTAAGCAACATCCCCTCTAATCATACAAAGATCAGATATCCAATTCACAAACAATTAAGCCATAAAAAATCATCACACATCCACCACCTTTGATTGCCTAAATTTGGTTTTTCGCAAAGTTATGGACTCTTAAGAGTAACGTTCATGGGTAGTCTGTTTCATAACTCTAGAGAGCACAGTAAGCAGCCACCAGCCAGACACAGTGCGGTAGGCGAATATGATTCTCAATTCACAATTTCTCACCACCGGAAGTAAGAACAGACCATAATAAGCGTAGCGTTCATGGGTGGTCTGTTTCATAGCACTACTACACAATTTGTTAAAAAAGAAAGAAAGGTATTTAGCATCACGGCGGAACAACTTTTACAGGCCAACAACGACAACATGCTGAAACCACCAGAACTGGTATCACAACTCATAGGGAAAATCAAAAGATTTACTCTCAAATTAAGTAGTTACAACATTGAGCAATCGTCAAGCACATACACCATCACAAAAGTTACGGAACCTGATTCACAAAGCATTCAAACATTTGAGGACATTTCTGCAAAGGTACAACTTATATGTCTTTTTTCCAAGTCATTTCCATCAACATGCTAATAAATTTGCAATGCATAAAACAAACGGGCCAAAATTTGAAATTCAGCCTGTTTGACCGACCCATGGCAAATTCTAATTATTCTTTACTTTTAAACTTTCTATTTGAAAATAAAAAATAGTGAAAGAAAAGAGACGACTACAATTCGCCATTTGCACATCACTTATTCGGGAATAAAACCATAGAAATTCAAAAGGAATTGAAAATGTTTAGGATCGTTTTAATGTTTAAAATAACCAAATAGATCTTTATGTTTAGTTTTTTACTAACAAATACCAAACGATTCCCTATAAAACGCACTATAATTTGATCAATATGATGTCAAATAATTATAAAATATATATTTGAAATGATAAAAATTGGAATAATTGGGTTGGTCGAGGTTGTACCATTGAATAACTTAAAAATACATTATATTTTAGCCACTAAGATATAAAATAATAGCATAATATATATTATGCCAGAGAAAATAGCTTGTTTTAGAATGAGAAACCAATGATGTTCATTTGTTTTACTTGATGGCCAAATCCCATGTAGGTCAGGCCCATTCAACTCTTTTATTTTATGGTTAGCGGTTAGCCCATTAGATACCATGCATTAGTTTATTGTTAAATTTTTTATTTTTAACAATAAAAAAGAGTATTATTTTTGTCTTTTCATATATATTTTATCACCACAGAGAAATAAAAGGGTATAAAGAAAAACAATTGACACTCCTAGACCTGTTTAAATCCGCATGTGTACGGTAAGTTGGCCCGTTCCACAGAGGAAAGAGAAAAAATTGGTACTCCCTATTCTACCCTTCCTACAAACGCTCCTGGAGCAGGGAATTTGAAATGGGGGAAGATTTTTTTCCACCCTGCTATTATATGTTTTTAATTTAAAAGGATACAACAAATGTACTTAGTGTGATTGGTTATGATCTTTGCCTTTCTTTAAAATGGTCATGGTTCGAATCCCAGTATATATCTTTTTAATGAATAAAAAAAAGTAATTGTGAAGACCAAAATGTCCTTCCTACTTTCACTCTCGTTGCAGGAAATTTGAAATGGGGCTCCCGTTTTTCACTTCGGTGTATTATAGTATGTGTAGATGTTTGGAATAAAGAGGTTGAGAAATGAATTCCATTTGATCCAAATATTAGAAATTAGAATTTCTATCGAAAGTTATAGGAATTGGGTTTATGAAGATGGAATTAGTGGAACCCATTCATATTTATTATTATTTTATAACTTCACTATCTTATTCCTCTCTTTCTCTCTCACCAGTATTTCATTTCTCAAGATAAAAAAAATCTGCTAAATCATTAATGATTGTTAAAGAGTACAATTCATTTCCATAGTTGTTGGAATTATGTCAAACACAAATATTGGAAATGGAATTTCATAAAAGTTAGAATTGAGAATGGAAATCCATTTTCATTTCTTCTGGAATTATATCCAAACAGACTGTAAGAAATTGCAAGAATGTGGTACTTTTTTCTTATTTAGCAAGATTGCTAAATAAGCAATCCCTTTTGCAATGTCACACAAGCAATTGGGACCCACACACTCAAATTCTTTCTTCTTTTTTTTTTCTGTCAACTTTGTACACATAAATTGTTACACTTAATAATTCTTGTGCTTATGATTTGTTTAAATTATTAATAAATTAAAATCATAAATTATATTTTAATTATATTGAACATGAAAACTTAATACAATGATGTGTAATTAATGATTGAACATCCATGCACAAAACTAGAAAGAAATCACACTAAAAGTACACACCATTCATATCATGCAATTTGTTTTGCATTTTTTGTATTTCATTATGTAATTTTTCCTTATTTCTATTTTGTGTATGCTATGTATTTTGTGTTTATTGAATTTTAAAAGTCTATAATCTATTATGCAAAAGTACTATTGAGAAAAATAATATGGAGTAGGTCCCGTAAGGGACATAGGTGGTTTGAAATTGTTGAATTGAATAATTGCTAAAGGTGGTGATGTGGATGTAAGGTCTATTTATGAAATGGCTAACCTATTGCAGGGATGGAGATGATCTTACTACCTACAGTGATTTTAAAACATATCGTCAGTCAGCGACTTATAGCAGCTCAATCTCTACCGCCGATTATAAAACAAGACGTAAAACCGTATCAAAGGTTGTACTAAACAAAATTTGCAGTATAATATCTTATGCTAAAATCGTGGTTCAGCCGTTTATACCATTAAAATTAATAATCCGTTTAAACTTTCATAGAAGATTTTTCAGATTGGATCGTGGATTCTATTTTACAAATACTATTGTAAAATGGAGCGGGGAACCGCATGCGCAGTGAGCAATGCGTCAAAGCTAGAGGTGGCAATTTCAAGCCAATCCACCAATCCAATCCATCAATCCATTAAAAATATCCACCTAATCCAATCCATTTAAATCCAATCCATTTGATCCAAATCCAATTGGATTGGTGGATTCATGGATTGGATCCATGGATCATTGGCAAATTACGGTTTAGTACCTATAATTTTTATTTTTTACATTTTGGTACCTAAAATTTAATTTTTTATACGAAAAATATCATGGGAAAATTACGTTTTGGTACCTAAAATTTTTCATTGTGACATTTTAGTACCTAAACTGTTTACATTTTACATATTGGTCCTTGGTTGAGGATTTCATTTGGATTCATGGATAATCCACCAATCCACTTGATCCAATCCATGAATCCACCAATCCATTAGATCCAATCCATTTGATCCATGGATCCACCAATCCAATCCACCAATCCACCAATCCAATCCATTTGCCACTTCTAGTCAAAGCACAGAACAAGAAAGTGCCAAATTATTGTGTTGCCATTGCATGCATGATTTTAGGTCTAAAGTCGCTCTCTGAGTATTCAATTGGGTTCCTTTGTGTTTAATATTTTTTTCCCCTTGTCTTGTCTTTCTAAGAACTTTCTTCCAAAGAACATTATCTGTCAGCACGTATAACCCCGAAATTACATCCTTCTTTTCTTTTATTGATGATGTGTAAGTTATATAAAATGTCATTGTTTTTTTTCTCTCTCTGTTCGGGTTAATTGTAAGGATGGTCACTGGGTTTACTAAAATCGTTCATGTTTGGTCACTGCAAATATTTAATTCCATTCATGGTCACTAAGATTAGTTCAATAGTTCAAGTTTGGTCACTCTCCGTTAGTCTCCGTTAGTTTTTGCTGATGTGGCAGTCAACTATTATAGTTGACCGTTAAATGAGTGACGTGGCCATTAAAAAATAATAAAATAATAAAATATAAATATTTACAATTTCCACCTCATTTTACAACTATTAAAAAATAAAAATAAAACTTAGCTCCGCCATCTACACCACCGTGGCCATGACGCGATCGTCCGCCGCCGCTCCTTCCTCAACGCCGGCCTCTTTCCGCTCATAATGAACTGATACTTCACTACTTAAACAAGTCGCCATTGCGACATTTGCCAGTTGTGTTCCCTTTCCTCCCCCGAATTCCAACCACCTGAAACACAGATCTTACGGGCAACAATGGTTTCTCCCTCAATCCCCGCCAAAATCTTTCTCCTCTGCTTCACGCTTTTCCTTCTCCTCACCGCTTCCCTCTCCGCCGTCGCCACGGTGCCGGAGGAAGTAGTGGAGCTGGAGCAGGTAGTCGGGAATTCGAAGCAGAGAGAGTTCGATTACTTCATGCTAACTCTCCAATGGCCCCCCACTTCCTGCCCATCCATCCCAAAACGCCTGCTGCCGACGGTAAAAGCATTAGAAAGAAAAAAGAATCTGAAAAAGTCCGACAGCAAAAAATCACGTTCAAAAACCTTAAAAAAAGAAGAAAAAAAGAGAGGACAACAACACTCTCCTTCCTTCCTTCCTCCAATGGTCAGAGCAAGTAAGCTTTGAACATTTCAGATTTCCCTCTCACGAAAACCACCTGAATAAATACCTCACCACCAAAGCAACCAAAACCCAAATCCAAAAACAAGCAAAACTACAAACAAAAACAAAACCCATTTCTTCCCTAATTTCAGCCATGGCTGCTGAAGGAAGAAGAATCAGACAGCTCGCAGCCCTCCTCTGTTTTTCCACCTTACTCTGTTTTCACCTCCAAACTTCCGAAGCCAAAGTCCGTCACTACAAGTGGGAAGTGAAGTACGAGTTCAAATCCCCCGATTGCTACCGAAAGCTCGTCATCACCATCAACGGCGGCACCCCGGGACCCACCATCATCGCCCAGCAGAACGACACCGTCGTCGTCGACGTCAAGAACAACTTGGGCACAGAGAACCTTGCCATCCACTGGCACGGAATCCGGCAGATTGGTTCGCCGTGGGCCGACGGGACCGAAGGCGTCACGCAATGTCTCGTTCTTCCCGGTGACACTTTCAGATACACTTTCATATACAAGTTCCCGGTGACACTCTGCCACCCATGTAAATGGCAGCCATCAGCCATCCAAGCACTGACCATATGCATTAGGGACAAAAATGAAGTGGGATGAAGCAAAGCGAGGCCGGCATTGAGGAAGGAGCGGCGGAGACGATCGCGTTATGGTCACGGTGGCGTAGATGGCGGAGCTAAGTTTTATTTTTATTTTTTAATAATTGTAAAATGAGGTGGAAATTGTAAATATTTATATTTTTTTATTTTTTTAATGGCCACGTCACTCATTTAACGGTCAACTATAATAGTTGACTGCCACATCAGCAAAAACTAACGGAGACTAACGGAGAGTGACCAAACTTGAACTATTGAACTAATCTTAGTGACCATGAATGGAATTAAATATTTGCAGTGACCAAACATGAACGGTTTTAGTAAACCCAGTGACCATCCTTGCAATTAACCCCTCTCTGTTCTTTTCTCCTAATCTTTGTCAAGCGAAGACAGAGACATCGTTCAAACACCTCAAAACAATTACATTTGAAGATCAAAATTTACTGCATTAATAGGATACAATGCAAACATCATTGTTGAATCTCGTCCAATGTTGCGTCTGAACTTGAAGCGCACCCACCCGACGACGACGAGACTTAAATTTAGGAGTCGTTTAATTTTGGTGATAGTTTGGTTGAGATAGTTATAATGCATGAAATGTTCACAATGCATCGTTTTTTCTGAATTTTATGCACAAACAATACATGCATTATTTATTTGATGTGACACAGACTATCACTAAAAAAAACGAGTGATAGTTAAATCTCAACTTTTCAGCGAGATTGTTGTGTTTTTTTCTTTTTCCAACTACGCCCTACTTTTTTAAGTGTGTTGCTTTTTTATATTAGAAACAAAGGGTAAAAGTGATACTTCACCCAAAAAAGTAATATAATTTATTTAAATACTACAATAACCAGGGGTGGCAGTTCGGTTACTGTTACCGGTTAACCGCCCGGTTAAACCGATAACCGGCCGGTTATCCACTGACCGGTAACCGAACTTCGATTGGTTATCGGAAGCTGGCCAAAATGGTTTTTGGTCTTAAAAGTGGTTTGGTTAACCGATAACCGAGGTAACCGAGAAACCGAATCCTATTTCGGTCGGTTTTCTGTAAGGGGGGTGTTTATTTCGGTTAACCGATAACCGACCAATCGGTTACCGGTTATAACCGAACTGCCACCCCTAACAATAACTATCACAAGAATCAAATGATGTAAACTACAGTACACCAACTTTGTTATATACATGCATATTATTATACTTGTATTGATAACAATGCATCAATTCAACTAACACCAAAACCAAACTATTGGGGGAATGGCTCGGCTTCGACCGCTCCATCAATCGACGTGTCAGTCACGACGCGCCAGTCAGGGCGCCCACGACGTCTTACTCGCGAAAACATGTCAGGCCGCGCAAGCGGTAGGACAGTGCGCCTTACCTAGAGTAACGGACGCGCGCCAATGCCACCAGCGCTTTCGCAGCGATGCCTCCGCCCCATCACCACCAGCCACCCAGAAGTGAGGAAGCGCGATAGCACCATTAACTAGGGCTGGGCATGCGGGCGGATTATCCGCGGGTTTGGGCCGACCCACCCGCATTTGACCCGAATTTTGTTAAGTGGATGGGTCTGTGGGTGGGTGACGGGTTGCGCTGGGAGCCATCCGCCGGGTGATGGGTGGGTTGTGGGTGAGTGTGCGGGTGACCCGCTCAACCCAACAACAAAAAGATCAAAGTCGTTGGCGCTAGAGAGAGGAGGGTGGAGACGTTAGATATAAATTCGGACTACTCCTAGAGTTTGAACCTCAAAGCCAACCTTCCAAATAGAGATCCCCTCTTCTTCCCTTTACTTTTTCCTCTAATTCTTGTGCCTAGATCACCGCTCTTTCCTTTGTGGAATTATTTTCCTTAGTTCCTTGCACCTAATAATCGTCTCAATCTGTAGAAAACTCTTTCATAATAGAATTTCTATCCAATTTAAGAACTAATTCGACATTTTTCGTGCTATTTCAACTTCTTGTTTCCCTCGATGATTCTCTTCACCTATTATCATGTCAAGTTGACTCCTTTATATTATATACATTGTGATGTGGGTGAACCCACAAACCCACCCGCATCATCCACCATCCGCCCGACCCAACCCGAGACTAAATGTGGGTGGGTGGTGGGTTAAAAATTATCAATCCGTTTAAGCGTGGGTGGGTGCATTTTATGGTCAAAATCCACCCGACCCACCCAATGCCCACCCCTACCATTAACCACTCCATCGCCGCCAGTCACCAAGAAGAGCGGAGGCGCGATAGCACCATTCGCGTGCAATACTCAAAACGACACCGGACGACTGACAAAGCTACACAGCCCTATTAGTAGACCTCATCATGCCCTAAGCCCCCTGTCTTTTCCAAATGTCCCGTCATCTCGAAAACCCACCCACTAAGTGATAGCCTATAAATAGAGCATTTATAACGGTGAGTGGGAGATTTTTTCCCAGCTCTCTCACACTAGAAATTCTGAAATTACCCTTCTCTCTCTAGCACTCTTTTCTCTATCTTGGGCCTCAAATCTAGTAAGCCAGAGACCAAAAGAAATAAGAAACAGGGGATTCTTTAACTCTATTTGCACCCCTCACTCTTGTGTTTCACTCCTATACTCAGTTAGACACAAACACAAACCATCCCGATTTTCTTAATGTCACAGAAAAAAATTTGGAATTTTGCTGTAACGTTAAGAAAATCATAATGGCCTGGTTTTGAACCTTTTGGTGATAGTTGAATGGCTGTTGCAAAACCCCAATTCTGTTAAAAATAACAAGAACAAGATCCGTCCCAAATTTAATAATTAAACTTCAATTAATTAAATTCAAATCTACTTCCCCACCCCTTCTTCCTCCAAACAGTAAAACGGTAAAAAAAAAAGTGGTGAGAAGAAGTGAAGAAAGAAAAGTAAAAAACTAATTCCCTCCTTTTTATACTCCGCCGCTCCTCCTCCCCTCCAAACCGCTTCCCCTCTCTTTCTCTCTCTTCTCCCTCCCACGAAAAAAATGATGGGAGGACCGGAATACTACGACCCCCGGCGCCACCACCACAATCCCCCCGGCGCCGTCGGCGGCGGCGGAGGACCGCCACACGGGATCATCCTCGCGGTGGTGGTCTGCATCGTCGTCCTCGCCCCGTTCGTCTTCGGCGACCAAGGGGAAGCGATCACCGAAGGAATCGCCGAGCTCCTCAGCCCGCTCGGCCTCCTCCTCCTCCCGATCGTCCTCCTGCTCGCAATCCAGTTCCTCTCCTCCCAGCGCGGATCCTTCGTCGCCGCGGTCCTCTCCGCCGGCGGCGGCGAGCCGGAGAGCTTCCACCGCGTCAGCGGGTCCCCCGTCGGCGTCGCGCTCTTCCTCTTCCTCGTATTGTTCTTGCTGTACTACCGCGTCTCCATATTCGGCGGCGGCGATGACTCCGGCGATTGAGGGGGGGCTTTTTTTCGATTGAGATGCGCGGTGGGGCCCGCCGGATCTGAAGCTCGATTGGTGCCTTTCTCTTTTTTGTAGTCAGGGGTTAGCTTTTTGGTTTATTTTATTTATTATTTACTTTTTGGATCGCTGCTTTGATTTTTGTTTGTTCATTTGGAGCTTTCCTTTTGGAAGGATCGTGGAGTAGATACTGCTGGTGACTGGTGAGTCTGTTTGAACGTGGACTCGTGGTTGGGGAGGGGTAAAACTGTAAAATGCCGTGGTTTTATGGTAGTTTTTTTTTGTGATTGCATAATTTAATTTTCGACATTAATGAACATAGTTAAATTTAAAGCTGTTTGGCTCAATGATGGCTCTTTGTAGGGAGGAGTTACGGTGCTAATTGTACAAGAGTTAGCACCGTTCTAACCAAGGGAAAAACTACTACTAGTTTGAATTAGTAGTGATTTAGCTTAGATGTAGTATTGATTTTATAATAATCCGTAGTGATTTCGTTGTTTTTAGTAACGTTTTTTGCTAGTTATCACGGTGCTAACCCCCACCTAATCCATCCCCTCTTTGTAATCTTTATGGAAGGGGTAGCTGTGGCTACAAATCTTGATGATGGTAGTATTAATCAAATGTTCAAATGAGAAACTGGAAGGTCTAGAAGGGTAAGAGATTCGTGTGAAGTGTACTTGCACGTGAGGTTATACTGTTATTCGCATCAACGGTAAAAGGAAATTTCGGTTAGAATTCCTTAATTGGAATTTGGGACGAGGGGGGGGGGGGGACGACAATGTAAGCGAGTTCGGAGATGTCAACATATTCGTTCAACGTTGTGTTAGTGTGAGTTCAATTTCGTTTGGCATGGTAGCAGAGGCACAATGTGATGAAAGGGACGATTTGTAGTGATGAATCAACCGGCGGAAAGTTGTGATGTGAAGCAAGTAAATAACAACAAACTAATAGATATAACAGAGTTGTATAACTTATTGATTGTCGATAAATAAAGTAAAGCAATTCTTTGAATGTTGTTGGACTGATAACAACGGACGATATATGACCATTGGATGAACGAGGTGATGATAAATTGCGACTACATCTTTCCAACGATCGCGTATCACCAACTATGTGCGACATGACATCTATGAGATACTTATTACATGTCTTCTAAGAACCATAACTAGGTAGGGTTGAAATGTTACAAAAATGGCGGTGTGATCCTGAAGTGTCCGGTTTGGCGTTGACTCGCCGGCGGTGGACGATGAAGGGCACGGTGAATGCCAGCCGGCGTGGTGGTGGAATACACGTGGCGCACGTGCAGTGAGTGGCGGAGTTCTGATCTCCACTGGTCAGCAGCTGCATTCAATTATTGAGCGAGAGGAGCAGAGAGAATCCAATAGGCTGTAAGTTGTCAGTGATGTCACTGACAACAATTGACCAGATAGTTTTTCTTTTATTGTAATGACACTTGCTTCCGCGCATATTCTGCATTCATTGGTAAATAAAAGTTTTCAGTTTTCCCGTGTAAAGGGGGAAAAAAGGCCTCTTAAATTTGGTCACAGTAGGAGAAGAAGAGTTTTTAAGATTCATAGTAGGGATGACAATTTCTACCTGACTCGTTTTACACGATCTGTTTGACTTGTTTTGGGGCAGGTCTGACCCGTCCTGTAGGCGGGGCGGGGCGGGCATGGGTACTCTCATCGACCCGGCCTGCCCTAACCTGTCCCATTCTTGACTCGTTCTTGCCTAAATTGCATGTAATCTTAGTCAATTTATTTAGAATTTTTCTTTTAATAAATCATAATTTAGCTATAATAAAGTTATAAATTAGTGAAAATCTCAATTTCTCTAATAATTTAACTACATTTATCATAATATTGTTTGTTTTCTTGGTCTTATAATAAAAATAACGAATATTTCTAATTTTTTTCATATGATTTGCATACCCATTGGGTCGACCTGCCTCGACCTGCGACCCGTGATAAATTACCCGACCTGAACCCAACCTGCCACGGGGCGGGTCTGGGCACCAAGAAACTCGCCCCGGACTTGCCCCATTGTCATTCCTAATTCATAGGATGTAGCTAAAATCAAGATTTGAACGCCAGGAGTTGAAATCTATTGTCAATTTCGTTGTTTGGTTCATCAACTGATCGATCGGATTTCGTGTGCAGACAACAACACATCGATACCGTTAACAAATTACTACGAAAAAAGTTGACAAAATCCTAACGAAATACTCCGTAAACATACAAATGAATCGTTCCAGATGTTTGTTATGATTCAGAAACTCATTACAAACCATCGATAATGCTACGTATTGTTAGCACTTGGAATCTACGGTGCATCTCTGCCCTTAAAATTTTGATAAAAAAGTTGATGACATAGTACCGTTTTCCATTCAGTAATGGAACCCTAAACCCACAGAGAATCCGCATACTACAACCCACCAATCAAACAATGAGATTCGGAATCTGTTATTCCTGACTCCTATCTTACAAATCTGTACAAAAAAAAGATGCATCTCTAGAAACAACTTTCCACATGTTTTGATGCTTCAGATAACACGACGCATCACAGCAGTGTCAAGTCGGTTTACCTTGTTCACCTTCAGCAAAGGCCGGAAATGGGGAGTCTTACTCCGACCACGTCATGCCATATCGCATTCACAGATGACAAGCTTGGAAATGAAGCAAAAAGTGTAACCGTGCAATCTTGACATATCTCCATCACTTAAAACAACCAACTTGGAGTTTCCAAAATGCAAAATCTCACAGCAGCATCTGTAACAACCAACAGTCAACAGAAGAAGTGAGGGATTGCTTGCAGCACATGGTCTCCATTCAAGCAGCTGCATTGTAACCTTAAGAAAGGGCTATATAGAACAAGCCCTCCTGGTGACTTGAACAAAAGCCAAGACCAAGATGTACTAGTGACATAAACAGGTCACTCACCAAGCTATAGGAGAAACAAGAATACTAGTTCTTCTTCTAATCATTCCAACTGCACATGGTTCTCTTCAAAGTGGCACATGCATGGAATCTGAAGGGAAGACCATTGATATTCATAGCAGACTTCTATTCAGTAATTGTACCCAGCTTCCAGTGAAAAGGTTCACAAAAACGATAGGGGGGAAACAGTTCTCACCATATCATGCCAATTCAAGATTGTGCAGCTTGTTGCAATTAGGAGTAGGCAAGACCTTATTCCAATGCCGCCTCTGCATCTCCACATGACAATACCGCCAAAGCAAGTTCTTATAGTCCTTAACCACACTGCCCTCGACATCACTCCTACCCGTGCTTCCAACAGGGAAGCTCTGATCGAACGAAGGGGATCTAACATAGAACTCGACCCCGTGCTTCTCGGTCTTCCTCAAGAACCGATACGATTCGGTTGGCTGCAATGAGTAAACGGGCTCTGTAAACGCCAGATAAGCTACCAAGATGATCGCCAGAAATGGCAGAATCTGCATAAGTAAAAACCAACAACTTGTCCTTCCTCCATGATCAACATTCTCGGCGTTATGTTCAGTTTCCCTTCCTCTTGTGGTCCTGTAGGGATTGTAAGCTCTGTACCCTTCATTCCTATTGAAATATTGACCAAACACCTCATCATCATCATCGTAATAGCCATTGTAACCTCTATAACTACTTCCATTCCTCCTCGTAGGCCTTCTCGGCCTCACATTCTCTCGTTGATGGCTGCTACTGCTGCTGCTGCTGCTGCAACCGAACCCTCGAACCAAACCCACATGATCATACTGCCTACGAGACTCTCCATCGCTCAAACACTTGAACGCGGCACAGACTTTCTTGAAAGCTTCTTCAGCCCCTGGAGCTTTGTTCTTGTCTGGATGAACTCTGAGCGATAATTTTCTGTACGACTTCCTAATCTCGTCAGGTGAACAGGATTTCCCCACGCTGAGAATCGCGTAGTAATCTTTCGTCCTGTTGATCTGCCTAATCAATTGCAGATTCTCCTCGCTGTAGTTCGATTTACCCGCGCTGCTAGGATTATTACTGCAGCTGCTGCTGCTGCTGCTGCTACCGCGACTCTTCGCTTCGTCGCCGGGAGCTAGTTTCTCGCAAGCGGCGAGGAGATAGTCAACGGAGGAGTCGCGGTTGAGGCGCTGTGCGAATCTGATGAATCTCAAGGCGCGCTGTTTATTTCCTGCGGCAATTGCTTCTTCGGCGATGGCGATGCATCTCAGAGCTTCGTCCTTGTTGCCGTCCATCGCATCGATGGAGTTCCAGGAGATCAAAAGAGTTTGGCGGGCATTTGAGATCTCAGAAAAGGCTGTGAAAATTCAGAAAATGAGTTGGGAGATTGAAATCTCGAACAGGACGAATTCCGCAGTCAGAAATCAGAACATAAGGGAGAAAAGGCTTTTTACCGGAATCGGGAAAAGCTGTTAAGACCTTCGATAGATTTTGATAGGGTGAGCCGCCGCTTCGGCGACAGTCGATGAAGAGTTGAAGACGAAGTCCCCAAACGACGACGCATTTGTTAGGTCCCACGCTTGGGGAAGAAGACAGCAAAGCCATAGAAAAGATTCGAGTGGTTCATCAGGTTAACGGCCGAACCAGTATTAACCCGTTCATATCTTTTTCTTTTGGATAACCAACCCAAAAATTCTAACATTTAAAGGCCCATAGGCCAAAGCCCAGATACAGATTAAAAAAGCCTATTTATTTCTCATCAACTCTCATCATCGGACATGAACGTCTGCCGTCTCCTGACCGACTCCAAGACCTCGGCGGGACGAGCCGACGGCAACCCAGAGCCGCCGCTCTTCCACACCGTTCCGGCGGCGGCGGCAGTCTTGAGCTTCGGCTTGTTCATAGCACTCAACGGCGGTGACAGAACGCCTCTATTAACCTCTCTCAAAACCGATCTCGCCGTCACCTCCGCAGCCTTGTCCGCCATCGCCGATGCCACCCTCTTGTCCTTCGGCGAAAGAAACCCAACGCCCCCGCCGCCGCCATAGCCGCTCGGGCCAGCGGCTTCGGACGCGGCGGCGGACTTGGCCTTGGCTGCCTCGTACCTCTGCATGTCGTAGGCGAGCTCCTTCTGCAGCTGCTTGTCGGCGATCAGGATCTCGTCGATCTCGTTCTTGTAGTCTTTCAGGAGCACGCGGAGGCACTCCATCAGGGAGCCGATGAGCGGGCTGTTCTTGCTCTCCAGCAGCCGCTTGAGCTCGATGAAGATTGGAATCGTGTTCTGGATCAAGCTCTTCCTTATGGCTTGCGTTATTGCCCTGCCTTTTGCTGACAGTCCGTTGCCGTCTCCGCCACCGCCTTCTTCGTCGCCGGCTTCGCCGGCGTCCGCCGCTGAACCGCGGGCGGGTTGAATTCTGATCTCTTTGCAGGCCAGCACTTGGAAAGCGTCCTGTTTCAAGAAAAAAGGGGGGGGGGGGGGGGGGGGGGGAAACCCTCATTGTCAATTTCAACGAAATTTAAATTTACGCGCGAATTGATTATAGTTAAGCATATTTAGTATATTACCTGAAGAACAGCCTGTCCGGTGACATCTTCCAGCTTGAGCATTCCATCAGAAGCAGCAGCGAGAATCTCAGAGCACAGTTTCGCAAATGTCGCCAGGAGATGCTCCGGAGCCATCTGTTTGAGCAGGGAAACATATATGTGCATTCTTTTCGACCTCGAACTCTCATCATTCCCCCTTACAAGAGCAAACAAGAACACGAGATTGACTTGAATCCCAAGGGACCAATTTCTCAATGACATAAAAAAGATGTTGATGACACTTGACTGAGTTCTATAAACTAGCTTTGTAACTAACCTAATGGAGAACTGGCGATCTTCGGTTCGAGTGTTCTTGGACCCGGTGTGTGCATTGCAGTCATTCAGCACAAAGACGGCTTCCACGAAGCTGTTGTAAGCTAACAGTGGCGCCTTGACTGCAAGTGGACAGAATCACAGAAATGATAACCCAATTGGTCAAATCTCGTAGCAATGTATATAGATTGAAATTTGATGAGAAGGTGTAAAGGGCAATGACCTTTCAGAATGTTCCCGAATAGGAAGTCAGCTAATTGTCTAATCTTCTCCGAGTCGTCGACAAGAGCCAGGAGGAATCTTTGGAATAGCACTCCTCTCCACTTGACATAGTCCCTCTATGTAAGAAAGTTCGTAACTTTTTTGTCAAGATAAGTAGATAACCAACAACTCATGAAATGGAATTCCAAGAAACCAAGGCATGGAAGTTTGAAATCCATTCAAAATTGGTTGCAAGTGTTGGTGCAGATGGGATAGTGGACTCCATCTACCAATTAGTCCAAATTTACAAACTTTGTGTAATTAACTTTAAATTAGTGGATATGATTTATTCCAAGTAGAAATTCATAAATAATTCCGGTATAAATTCTAATCCCTGCAAGCAATGATACTTGAATTCTCAAAGGAATTGGTTGCAAATAGACGGTTAAGTAGCAACCAATACCTGAAGCAATCTTGAGAGCAGAATGAACGTCTGCCGCCTCACTAGTTCACATGGGTCACGGAGGCACTTGGTGATCTTAGGTATATAACTGTGGTTCATTATGGAAAGAAAACAGAAAATCGAGAAGTTAAAAAGTTATCTCAATCAGACAGAACTCAGGTATATGTGATTCTCTATGTGGCCTTACCAGTCCACCAGAGCGGTATAGTGAACACAGAAGTCTGCCATTGTAACCACGAGATTGTTGCGAAGTGGTGCAAGATCACTTTTCTCGAGCTCCTGCATAACATGAGATAGTAAGTTAGCTACAGTTGAAACCCTCATCTGACACAAAAGAGCAACTGACATTAACCATAAAGTGAAGATTTACTGCCACATTAGTCAATCCTTTATCTAGACCTAGGAAAAGTCTAGCATGACAATAGGAAACCAAGAATGAGAGAGAAAGAGAGAGTTATATTGGGTTTAGGGCTGCCAAACCTGCACAAACAAAGGTATATAGTTCTTCGCAAGTTTCCCGTCCGCTAAGCAAATCTTCCCCATTGTCAGCCACGCCTGAATGTACAAAGATGGGGCTGTCTCTTTAACTGGGACGGGAGGTCCAGGGAGCTTGCTCAACTTGGGATCAGAATTTCCTGAAGTGATGATTGTGTACAGTAGAGGGATTACATCGTTCATATCAGCTGAAGGACAAACAAGAACCAGAGATCCTATGGTCTGAACTGAATTCACTGCTTCTGCCAGTAGCCTGGAAGCTGCTACTGCTCTCTTGCTCTTTCTAATTCCACTTCTAGGTGGTGTGAAGAAGCTGTTTTCGTTGGTGGCTTTCGAATTTTCATCCATGTACTTCTCGAGTATATTGCAAGCCTTTGAAAGAACTTGTTGAACCCATTTGCCAACAAGTGTCTCTGCCTCAGCAAGATCTACAGCTTTCCGTTTGCATATTGTTTTCAGGGCTTTAACATGTGCATTAACCTAGTATCATCATAGTCATACATTTTTTATCAAGTGAAGTTAGCAAATAACTAAGAAGATTGATCATCAACATAAGATTGTTTATCTTTATAACCTGCAATAAGAATTGTTAGAAGTACCTCGGTTGAGTGCATATTGAAGTCCTGAATTCGTTTGAGCAGGTTATGAGCTAGATCAGCAGCAGGATCAGGAGGCAGCTCCAAAGAAACGTTAGAGATTGTTTGCAATAGAAAAACGCGATCTCCTGCCCATGCAACAGAATCGGAATGTATACTTCCTTCATCACGAGTCAAATCTTCTTCAGGATCAAATTCGTTGGTTGCTCCAAACTTGTCAAGGAGCTGCCAATGATGATGGAGAAACTTCCAGTCAACTGCATTGGAAAGGTGTGCTGACACCTCAGATAAAAGAAGCCATGCACCAGGTGGAGCTGTCCACTTCTCTATTGGCATTAAATGGCTCTGCCAGTTAGACTCTGAAGTTCTTATGATATTCTGCAGCGAACTAGCAATCACAGGCTTGAGTCGTTTCTTCTTCCCTAGACTACTGCAGATTTTCTTCACCCAAGGTGTCACCTCCCCATCACAGATTGTTTTCAGAATAAACAGAACCCCATCTGGAAATAGCAACTCCATCTTTCTTTCTACTCCCATTTTGTTTGACTTAGAATGGGATAAACTGGAAGCATTATGTAACCTGGGATCACTTCCTGCTTTTGAGACACGGTCGAGGACTAGTTCCAGGAACAAGTTCTCACACTCTTCTTGAATGCTAGTCTCATTATCGGCTATTAATCGAGGTACAGAATGCAGCCACTCAGTAATCACAATTTCATCTGAATATGTTCTGAAGGCCTACAGACAGTGGTAGAAAGCAAGATCAGAATCATTAAGCACATAACTTGGAAAGGGGATAGAGATCAAGTCTTTAGACAGCATGCAGCACATGATGCTCTAACACAGGTAGTGATAGCTTATGCCTGATGATAACTTGAACAGAAATTTAAAGAAGTCTACCCAGAAAAAGGTATCTTGTTTTATTTCACAATGTGATAATATTCCTCCATATGAAGATTTATGGTGCTTGTGTATTGTTACAACTCAATCAAGATTCTAGCTACGACTTGTGTAGGTTGGCAAGGTTTAAAAGGTGATCAGTTCAATTTACAAGTACAATAATTATCGGAACCAACCTGTGACAGAGCTGATATTGCTGCTTTGCGTATGCTGACAAGTGGATCCGAGCAAGCCATTCCCATAGTCTTGAGCACGATTCCATCCAAATTGCCAGCAAAAATAGCAGTCAACTTGCTAACTAGAAGAAGTGCAGCTCTCCTAACGTTTGCTTTCTCATCCATACAGCGGCTTCTCAACATCTCATCGATCCTACTCTTGCCCTTGTTTACATTATCTTCACCAAACCCCATGGCTTGTCTTAGAACAGCATGATTCGTATCATCAGATGACAGAAATCCCACCAACTGCGCCAAATTGGACAACCCACGAGCTCTAGTTAGAGCACTTGAATCAGAACAACGCTGGATCAATGCCTCGAGACACTTGAATCCCCAGCTACCTTCCGGTTCAGCATTCGTGCGCAACCCAAATGGATCTTTCAACAGCAGTAATAGATTCAACATCAAGTCCACCGCCAAGATTCTAAGATTAGCCTTCGCTTCGCTCATCTTCACAACATACTCCACAAACACGATTTGATCATTCAACTCCATAACCTTCACAATATCGACTATGGCATCCACCGCTAGCCCTCGGGGCTCGGCCTTGTCTGGCGCCTTCCTCACCAGATAACGTGGTAAATTCACACAAGCCTTGTTCACAACTTCGCTTCTTCTAGCTAAACCCGTCACCAAATTCTTCACGAAGGCTAAGGCAAAGCTCCTAGCGTGGGACTTCGCAGCCAGTATCAACGGCGTCAACGACTTCAGCAATTCAGCTGCTGTCTCTCCTTCTTCACCATGCTCGGTTTTCAACACCCGGTTCAAAATCCTCGAGCACAAATTTTCCAATCCATTAGAGCTACCTGAAGAATTACCTAATGTTTCCGAAGCTAAAACAGGAATCTCCACTACAGTCTGAACCAGAGACTTCAAACTATCGGGGAACCTACTCAAATGAATCAAATCCAAAACTGAACCCAATTTCTCGAGAACGCTGTAGAACAATTTTGCATTCATTACCTGGCTCTCCCCACCGCCGCCGCCATCTTCATCATCAGCATTACAGACATTTTTACCTCTATTATTCCTCCCTCCCCGACCCTTCTTCCTCTTCAAACCCTGAGATCCACCCGCCCGACCCGATGAGGAAGACGGGTCCTCCCCTTGCACGGCTGGCGGCGGGGACTTGAGCGCGCGCCGGAGGGAGCGAAGGAGAGAAAGAAACGACATCGGGTTGAAGAGAGTGAAGACAGGGGAGTTAGGGCAAAGGAGGAGGGAGAGATATGCTTGGGATGACAAGAGGGAGATGTAGATGGGGCCGGAGTCCATAGCGGAGGTGAGAGGCGGGAGGAGAGAAGCCGGCGAGAGCGATTTGGACGAAAGGCGGGAGAAGAATTGGTCGAGTAGGTCGGCATCGCCGGCGTCCAGAATGGATTGGAGGTCGAGGAGAGTCGAACTTGAGAGCGGCGGCGAGGGAGTTTGGCTGCTGCTGCTGTTGCTGTCTCGAGCTTCTTCAATGTCGGCGACGATTCGCGAGAGGAGCTCCTGCTCTTCTTCCATGGCGGGAGTGGCGAGAGACACAGTCAATGAGTTTTTCAGCGGTCGATTTTTCGAGTTCTTCTTCCTCGTCGTCACTCGATTGAGAGCCCCTCCATTTCCTAGCGGAAAGTTCCGAACGTTTTTGGGGATTTTCCCGCTCAAGTTTTGGGGAGATTGTTCAGAAAGAGAGGCGAATCAGGAAGAAGCAAGGTTGTCAAACCGGTTTATGCCAGTGTGCCGGTTTAGCAAGTGGAATGGTTCGACCGGTGGTACATACCGGTTTGTGCCGGTTCATGCCGGTTAATATTATAAATAATTTACAAATACTCATATTTAAACACGACATTAAACGTCAATACCTAAATATTTGTACTTGGATCCAACAAATAACATCAACATTTAACTTTTTAACACATAAAATAAATAATAAATTATTTTTTATCAATTAAATTCACTAAGATAAGGTCATTTTACTTGGAGATCGTATATCGATCATGCCGGTCATACCGGTGGTGTCATGCCGGTTTTATGACCGGTACAGGTTGAACCGGGTTCAACCAGTGGCACGCCGGCCGGCGTGACAACCATGGGAAGAAGACAAAGCCATCTCGGCAAACAAATATTGGGCTGGGTTGAGTGCTACTGAGCCACAGGCCCAATCATTGATCTATGCCGATTTACCGTTTGGTTGGGATTATTCGTGTTGCTGAAGATTATATCGGAAAAGTGTTTTATAAAGTATTTTGTATTAGTTTGTAATTTAATTGTGATTCAATTGTTTTATAATGATAACAGTGGCGGATCCAGGGGTGGCCACCCCGGGTCCCGGGCCAGCCTTCCTCTGGATCCATAGTTAGTATAGGCCTTATGAATTTTTCGATTTAGGTATTCGGCCCAATGCTATTTTATAATAAAATTGGATATAATTAGCAAATTAATTTAGATAAACATATCACTACTCTAAATTTAGCCTAGAGAAATTCTAGCCCCAAAGATTTTTCGTCTAAGAAAATAATGAAACCTAAAATTCTAAAGCATAATAGGCTAAAAGAAATATGAGGTTTGTTACCTTGAAAATTTACTAGACAACTGGTGGTATAGGGATGGACACATAATGCAAATTTATATTGATTTGTCTAGTGTTGACGCTGCTTGTGTCAACAACTACTACAGAGAGAACCTTTTGAACAAAGAAACATCTAAAACTTATTTGCACAATAAATGAGCGATGAAGTTTTTGCCAATTGCTCAAGTATTTTATTTGGAACAGTATTGGTATGGATGTGGACTACATTATTGATGCATTTGCTAAATTAAGATACTGTCGTGTACAATTTACATTGTAAAAAACTATAATCATTAATTTTTTTATGATTCTAATTTTCTAATAAAATGCGGCCCACTGCTCTTCTGTGTTCTGGATCCGCCGCTGAATGCTAAAATCACCTATAGTTTGGAGTTGGTGTCAATATTTTCTGTCTGACACGACATTATGGTGCAGTTACTAGAACATTTCTCGTTGATCATGGAAATGTTCTCCTAAATCCTAATCACTCCTTCAAAGAAGGTGACTTCCATCAGGAACAGAATTCTCTTAGAGGTCGTTTAAAAGTTGCAATTATTTTTGTGATATTATTACTATACTTGTATTTATTAGAATGCATTGTTTTTTTTTAAAACTTTTTAGCAATCAAAATGCATGAATTGTTATTGTGATGTGACAAAAAGTATCAATCAAAAAAATTTGTGATTGTTATATCGCAGTTTTTAGTTGAGATTGTTGAAATAATTAAGTCATAATTGTTTTTATCTCAACATTTAACTGATATGACATATATAATCACACGTTATATTTTGCAATGCATCAAATTCGACTATATGCATAACAATATGTCTATTTAACAATCACAACTTCAAGTCAAAATTAAGCGCTTTCACAAATGTATCAGATTAGATTGATGGGACTTCTAAACTAGAATGCAATCATATGAGCTATAATTCTCCATCTCTCCTTTTCCTTGGATTTTTCTTTTTTTCCTTTTCAACTCTTTCTTTCTTTCTTTATTTATTTATTTATTTATTTTTTTTTTTTTGACAAATCTCTTCTTGATGTGGGTTAACTGGTTTCTCTCCCTCTCCTGCTTGGGAGGCATAGAATAAACTAACTACTAGTCTACTACAGAACCCATTCTTGCTTGCTCCTGCCTACAAATACAACCCTAATGCTGAAAAAAATGACAGGAGGTAGCTGGTTCAGGTTGCTAGGAAGACTTTTCACACAAACTTCGCAATTAGCAAGGCGTAAACCTCCCGGATTAAATCACGCTGCCTTCCTCTTTCATGGCTCGATTTTCTCCAACATGTGTTGCCGGAGAAGAGAGTTAGAAGGCCTGCCGATACCCGCAACACATTGGGATTCAGCAGCCATGGAAGCTGCCTGGCTGAGATGGCGCGATTGTAATCGAGAACCCCCTGTGTAGAGCTGCCAGTGCCACCATTGAACTAGCTGAGCAAGAATCTGAAAATGTCGCTCAGAGTGACAATGCCTTCGACCCGTTTGCTCCCAGCCTCTACTATGATCACTTGCCTTACACCTGAAAGCAAATGGCAGTGAAAGGGCTTCGATCACAATGAAGGCGAACAGCTAAACTTTGATGTGCCAGGGACAAGGCACTTAGAGTAGTTACCTGGGTTACCAAACCGCTCCATTACTTTAAACAGTGAATCAGAGCGTAAACACATCTGGCACCTTTGACTTCTCAACTCATATGGATAAAACGAGTCTTGCCCCAATTGCAAGGCCTACGGATAGAAGAATTTGAGCGACGGTGCTTTTGGACTAATCTTTATGGAACATATCAGGAAATGAAAGAGAGAAATATTACCTGGTGGATGGTCATTTCGTTAAGATTAATGTGTGTGTAAACTCTGTCCTTTGCCAAAGCAGTTATATCACTGGAATAAATAAAAAGCAAGTACTTTGGGTAAGTCACTCGAAGGGTCTTGAGAAGAAACAAACTAACAGTGCACAACAATGTAAACACCATTACCTCCGACAATATATATCAAGCAATGAATCATTATCGTCAACTATTGGTATTGAACTTACTTGAGCTGCAAAGGTGAGGCAATAAGAGGTCAGAAGAAACAGAGCTACTAATCATGGTGAGACAAGTAGGCCATCCCACAGGATCAGTATCCTCAAGCAAATAAACAAACACATAGCAGATAATTGTAAGGAAAATAGCCAAACCATAGACAATGGGTGAGTTAAAGTCAAGTTAAGAACTGAAACAAACACACTTTCAATCTAACAGTTCATACACCCCCAACAGTCACGTCCCGAAACTCTTCCGTATATTGAACAAACTATCAACCAACTCATCAATATTTTTTATATTACTAAATGATTCGTTCTCATCAGCTCGACTTTTCCTAAAAATTAACAGAGCACACATTTACAGAAGATAGTTCTGCTACACAACTTAACTGGAACAAATAGGACTTGGTGGACTTCCATATTGACTAGTTCTAGGTTCCTTCAGTTCTGTGCATTTTCAGAACAGATACGTACCATGAATTAATAAGTTTAAAGCGGCACTAAGGGAAGCACTTGGTCTTAACATTGCCAAAGGTCGTCCATTCGATTCCCCTATCTTTGGTACCCAAGTTCCCAGTGGAATCGAACAGATGGGCAATTGCAGTACAGGTAAGGAGCCAGAAACATGCCTGAAGTACCTGAAAATACCTGGAAATTAATATCCATCGGTTAGTTATAAAAAAACATGCACTATCATAGCAGCTAAAACAAAAGCCTTACATTTCAAAATTCCTGACAGCGAAGCAAGATGAAGTAGCTGGGGAAATGATCCATCATCTGATGATGAATGGATTATGGGGACTGTGCACACATCGTTTTGCAATATTTTCAGAGCAACCTCTTTCAAGTTGTCGTATGGTCCAGCCTGTAAAATCAAAATCTCAAAGTCAGCACTTCACAACAAAGCAAGCAAGAAATTTCTCATTTAAATGACACATTTCTATTAACAATGCAATAGATCTCACTCACATGGATTAGTTGCCGAGTAACAGCTCTCCCTTGGCCATCAAATTGTCTATTAAGATATGCTTTTCCTTCTTTCCAAGCAGCTATTGTATGTGTATCAAGTTCTTCCTCAGTCAAATTTGACCCGTGATTGCCAAGCTTTTATTGAAACATGGACACAAAAAGTAGAGAGCAGAGAACCCATCAGGACTCCGTTAAAATATGAAAATAGCAGCTACTAGACACAAAATGTAAGAATAAATGAGATCGTCGCCTAATTCCGACGACCAATTTTGTTTCAGCATTGATTCAAACAGAAGCCTCAAACTCTAACAAACTTATAGAACTAGCAACTACATGGATCACAGTACTACTCATGTTTAAGCCTTCAATAGTAAATACCGCTAGTGTCTGTACTCAGACCATTTTCAGAATAAAATATATATGGCCTTGCATGCATACCTCTCGCAATATTAAGATGAAGTCCAAAGCACTCAGCACTCCAACAAACTGGCCCCGGCTGAAGTCCCAAAGAGGAGCCATCGGGACTCCCTAGAGACAATGGTATTAAGTGATAAGTCATATTTTGTCAAGAAAACGAATCATTGAGGCAAGATCATTCTTTTTGGATTGGCCTTGATCATATAAGAACCAGAAAGAAATTCAAATCATCAAGAGGCAACAAAAATTTGAACTATGCAATCCAAATGACATTGAACTGGATTTTAATTTCTACAATTAGTTGGAAGACCCAAAAGGACGAATCACTCACCTGCTCGTATAAGATATGAAAAGCTTGCTTCACTGGTAAATCGACATCCAATGCAACCACCTGTAAGCTACATCTACTGATTATATGAAGAGAAAGAAGCTTGGAATCATCAAGCTCAGAAGGAATGGGGGAAATCAAGGAAAGAGAGAAAGGTGAAGAAATCATACTGAGTCATCATAGGTATTTCCTAACCTTGCTAATAAGAAAAGGGGGGCATCAAGAAAAGATGAAGGAATCATATTGAGTGATCATAGGGTATATCTAACCTTGCCCGACTTTGGAAGTAACTCATACGCAGTTTGTGTAGACAAAAACACGGAAATACGATGACGAGAGGCCTGCACATCGGCCTCTGATATTGTTGGCAAAACCTCATTCAAGGTACCATCAGAGACATGGACCTGCATTTTTCATTTACTCCTTAAGATTCCATGTCCAACCATTGCCAGAATGAATATACAAGGAAGTCAAGGAAGCCAATAATCCAACGAATTTCAATGGGGAAATTATAATACAAGCAAGGAACTGGTAAATGTAGTGGTTCCACATAAATGATTTGCAACTGACAAAGGTAGCCAACTCACCACACGCCTAAAGTGCTCATTGTCCAACTCCATGTTCGCATGTAACTCTGGACCTGCTGTGGGATTGTGATTGGCATCCATTGGGAAGAGGAGAGTGTTTACTAGGCCATATTCACTTGTTACCCAAGATTGGTGCTCATCATACCGCCACTCCCCATCAACGTAAAACTTGTACTGCATGATGCAACCACCATAAGTAAAGCTATATTACATATGATATGATAACAAACACACTAAAATACTAAAAACCTCGTCATCAAGATAAACAGCTATCAAAATCAGGCATCTGCAACAAGGTGTGCAATCTGAAATTCACAGTAAACTATTTAAATTCCCATTCAGGCCGAGCTCAGGAGCTTATTCCATCAACTACTATACCAAAAAAAATTGGGAGCAACAAGGAGTAACACATAATCTGCTGCCTTGGATTGCACAATTGCATTAGCAAGTAGCCTTCCTTCATTGAACCATCCTTAAAGCAAAACAAGAGAGGAAACTGAAGCTATTCCATTCACTAAGCTCACAGGTGTCGGCACAAGCATCAATAACTAGGAATGCCCAGGAGAAACTTGAAACTACATAACAAAAATTGAAAAACTGAAGCACAGACCAACTCACCAGGTGGTAACCAGGAGATATGCTGCAAATTGCTTGGAACACTCTAGGACAACCTTCAACTGGAGCCATGGCAACGAGCTCGCCCCATCTTCAGAAAGAGACAAAGCCATCAATTAGGACCATTCTCCCAATAAACCCAACCCCAGAAAATCATTAAAAAAACGTAACCAGGTGAATAGGGAGGCAAGCGCTTGCGAAAAATGGAAAGTAGAATAGGAGCAGAATTCTGAGCATTATATATCAATCATCACCCGTTAAAAGAACCAGTGATTAATACGCTTCGACCACCATGAGGCCACACAAACCGCATCAACACCGTCCCTGCTGCAACTCCACCGCCGGCTTCCTGCCCGGAATCCATCCGCGAAGCAAACATCCAAACTTCAATCGGAACTCAAACGAAGCCTTCGAATTATTTTCCACACCGTGCCCCTTCAATTCAATCACTGCAAGCAAAACCAAGAAAAACGAAAGAAGTGCAATGGAAATTAAATTTTCAGCCACTGACAATTTGCAGCAACGCCGGTGGGCGGGGAGCGAAGAAGCTTACCCCAAGCGTGAGAGCTGAAGGAGCTTCGAGAAATGGACACGGAAATGGAAATGCAATGCGCTGAATGTGAGTAGGAATTGGAGGGGCAGAATCAACAATCGGGAACCCTAAAACAGAAAAGAGGGAGGATGCGAGACCGAACGAGAGTATCCCAAATTGGGCAGATGGAGGAGAAAAGACGAACAAGAAGAATAAGCTCAGAATCACAGAATTGCAACGCTGGTTTTTGTTGGGTTAAGATCGAGAGGAGGAGAGAGAGAGAGAGGGAGAGCTCGTGAGCGATACGATCGAATCTCTCTCTATCTTTTTTTTCTCCTTTAAATTTCCCAGTTTCTTTTTATTCGCCGAAGAAATTGAGACAAAAAAATAAGCTGGAGAAGAAACAAAGGACGGGAATTCCAATAGTAAAAAGATTTGGGGCATTTTTCTCATTGTCAATGACACAAAGGATCACTAAATTATGAGATCATTAGCAAATTGGCCACTCAATTTAAGAATTAACATGTTTATCATCACACCAAATGTTGCATTAATGATATCATACAGTCTATCTTTCAATCTTTCTTAAAATCGAGTTTCAATCGCAACACTAAACAAGAGTCCTGTACAGGAGGTTTACACTAACCAACTCTAGTCACTACGATTAAAATCGATAATTATCAAGTTGCGAGTGCAACATTACATACACTTTGAGATTATTAACAAGTTCGTCTCTCGAACTTTTATAAAAGATAATTCTCACTACATTTTTTCCCCTAATAATTGTCACTTTATAATTTCGCATAAAAGTAAAGTAAACTTATCACTTTACTCTATGTTAAAATATGACACTAATACTGGGTTTCATAGAGTTTCGACGAACACATTAAGCAACATATGACATTAATACTGGGTTTCATAGAATTTCAACGAAAACATTAAGCAATCGACAAAGAATTTGCGTCAACAATTCTATGTAACGAGTTGCATAGATGGTGGTTGATCCAACCGTGATTAAGCGTGATAAATGTTGTATATGTTCATTTTTCCAATTTGCCAATCACTAATTCTTGATATGACACTTTTTTAGATAAGGGTGAATAGGTTTAACTTTTGTGGTTAGATACTAAACCCGGGACCAGGTTCAAAATTAGTGATATTATCTTGCAAACTTACCTTCACTCTTATACTTGGAGTCTTGCATATACTCTAAAGGGTATTGGGGACCTCGTATTGTTCCTTTCCCTACCTACTACAATTTCTTCAGTTTGGATAGTTTGCTTGTTGTGATGTACTTGGCTCAAAGGGCAAAATACTCCGAGCTTAAAAAAGGCAAGTATGAGGGTGTCACATTACTTCAACAACCTCATCTCACCAAAACAAAACAAAATCGAATACAACCAACACTGTATATCTCATCTTCCTTTGGCTGCAATTCAACGTGTATACTTCCTAGCTTAGACTTCAGAGTTCAGACACTCCATCTCTAATCTTTCAGCATGGCATCTGCAGACAAAGCAAAAACAAAAAGCAACAGATTCAAATGACAGAGGGTGAGAGACCAAGACAATTCATAACGCAAGATGACCATTTTGCAGAGTCGACGTAATTTAAATCAGGATAAAAGCCTGCAGCTCGCAGCGTCACATATAGTTAACCACGGAGCAATCCATTAAACACAAGTTTCACTGGAGCCTGGAAGCATGAAGCTTTGAGTTAAGCTGCTAGTTAATACTAATTATTCTCTTTTGATCATCTGCATAACCTAACTGTTATGGGATTGAAGTAACAGTCCGGACATCAGCAAATGAGTATAGGGATAGCAGGTCTCATGATAGAATTTTGCTCAATTTGGTCTCACTAATTTCCCCAACCAGCAGCGAATGCACCATCCCAGCTCGAGTATGGCGTCTCAGAGTGATAGGAAATCAAACTAAGGAGCTAGTTCGCTTCCGTAGCTAACTAACAGGAGCAACATTCGTCATGCCATAGCCTAAATGAACTGGACAAGTATAGATATGATTATATGAAGATAAGAACTGTGCACTGCAGTTGTGTTGAATAAGATCTATAGATTGGCTCAAATCATGAGAAGATGTTATCTGCAACCACAGTTGTAGAAGTAATCTACCTTGATCCTCAATCAGCTTAGTAAGTCTACCCTTTTCTTCGGCAAAAGCCTGCAGTTTTCCTACTTCTTCAGTCCTAAGATCTGCCAGTTCCTTCTCTCCTGCACCATCAATAACACACAAATGTAAGAAACATGCAAAGAAACCAAGCCCCTAAGAAAACATGAACAGGAGAGGCAGCATCAATGTCCTGGTGGGTGATATCAGATTACAACACCAGTCTCTTCTATGCTTTTTTTTATACAAAAACTTGGTCCCCTAAACTCCCATGAAAGACTCGGAAAAACGATGTGGAATTCCACAACACAACACTGATCTTTCTCTTACCCACCATTCCAAGAATCGAATTGTCAACCAACCCTACACCACCATATAAACCATGAATGGAATGGAAATTCACATTCATTTCCCCCAAACTCTATCACCATTCCATGCATTTTCTGCACCGATCTCATCTATAAAAAAAATACCCAGATGCCCTATAGTCTGAATTCGCGCGGAATTGAATCAGATACCACTCTATAATTTTCCGACGGTGGAGACAGTGAGAGAGAAGAGGGGAAGAAGGGTATACCTGAGGAATTGGATTACACGGATTTGACATTTTGGATGAAGGCAGCGGAGCAGAGGATGGAAGCAACGAAGGTGAAGATGCCGAGACCTATCATTAGAGAGATCCCAGCTGCCACCAAATCCAGCATGCTCTGCAGACTCAAACCCATCATCATCCACATCGCCGCCGATCCCGCAAAATATGACTCTTTCCCTTTTCCTCCTTTCTTTTGCTCCGACGGAAGTATCCGGTGATTTAATTTTTCCTTCTTCCTTCTTCCAAGTGGGGGGACTTCGAATCGCTGCTATTTTTCTATCTGGGAAGGCGGTGGAAAGTGGAACGGGAACAATAGCAGGGTTCGTGGGGTTAATTGTATGGTCGGTGACTGTGATTAGATAAAAATTTAAGTTTGGTCACTCGAAATATTTATAAATTCATTGTTGGTACTTCAGTTTATTGTAACCGTTCATGTTTGGTCACTCTCCGTCCAATTCGATTAACTTTTGCTTACATGGCAGTCAACTCAAAAAGCTGACCATTAAGTATGTGACGTGGCAATTAAAAAATATTTAAATAAATAAAATTTAATTTTTTAAAATTTTCACCTCATTCTAACTATTAAAAAGATAAAAAGAAAATTATAAAAACTAAGGACGAACGTCGAACGGGGAATCCTCTCTCCTGTTCTCCGTCACCGCATTCTTGGCCACAAACGGCGGTGGTTGCTGTCGTTTCCGCTCAGATAAACTCTCCAAAGCCGAGACCAACGCCGCAAAATCAGAACCCTACTAGGCCGCCTCCGCTGCCAACAGAGTCTGACGAGGAATTGAAATGGAACTGGCCAGCAACTTTGTCAACCGAAACCCAGATTCAGAAATGCCCCCAATCGATCTCCAGGGACGGGATTCACGGATAAATGTGCAGCGGGCAAGTGATTTGGGTGGGATCCGAGAACAAGATACCGAATCGGGGCACCGGTTCCCCAGCCTTACTACGTCGCGGCTCCACCGCCCAGCGGGTATCCGGCGGCGTACGGAAGCAACGGTGGGTACGGTACTGCGGCGTACGGGCAGCCGAGCTACGAAGGTGGGTACGGGCAGAAACAATTAGGGATGGCAATGGGGCGGGTTTGGGGCGGGTTTGCTTAAACCATCCCCATCCCCGCTTTCAAATATCCAAACCCATACCCGCCCCATACCCATGCGGGGGAAGATTTTGCAAACCCATCCCCATACCCGTGGGTTTCGGGTACCCATGGGTAATACCCGCCCCGTACATCCAACATTATAATACATAAAATTTTACATGTAAATTTTCAATTATAACATTAAAGGCACCTATTATATCATGAAGTCGAGAAAGTGACAATAATTCTTAATATGGTTCAAAGCATTTTATCCTAAAATTTCCCTTAATCCATAAAATAGAGTACTACAATGTAATCCAAATCATTATTTATCTGACTCTAATACATATACTAAGCAATAATTAACTAATATAATCTTACTAACACGAGGGAAAAGTGAAAGAGTGAAGAGAGAGTTGAGGAAAATGAATTAGGTTTTAATTTGGGTGACCACTCAATTGCATTTCTACTAATTATTTTTTTATTTACCCTCTCTATCATTGATAGATTACTATTTCATCCATGTATTTTTTATATGGGTATGGGTATGGGCATGAGGCGGGGGAGGCTAAAACCATACCCGCCCCATACCCATCAAACATTTTGCGGGTTTTACCCATACCCGCCCCATACCCAGTCAAAGCGGGGATTCCCCGCGCTGACTGGGTCGGGGGCGGTCGGATACCCGTGGGCATGGGTTTGATTGTCATCCCTAGAAACAATCGACGTATGTGCAGGAGGAGAAGAAGAAGGGTAAGTTCGGCTGGATGGGGGCCGGATTGGCTGTAGGCGTGGTGGCCAGAGCTCTGGGTGGAATCGCGTTGGTGGAAGGGTTCGATGCGTTGGAGGACAAGATCGCAGACGACGCGGCGGAGAAGGTGGAGGATGACTTGGGATACGACGATGATTTATAGATTTTTTTATTTTTTCTAGATTAAGGGAATGTGTGGGGTTGGAGCTTGCATTGGTTGTACTTGTTCTATCTAGTAGGGTTCTGGTTTTGCGCGTTGGCCTCAGCTTCACAGGGTTTTTCTGAGCGGAAACGACAGCAACCACCGGCGTTTGTGGCCAAGAATGCGGCAGCGAAGAACAGGAGAGAGGATTCCCCGTTAGTTGTTAATTTTAATAATTTATAATTTTATTTTTATCTTTTTAATAATTTATCTTTTTACAGTTAAATTGATGTAGCTTCAATGATGGAACTCTCCTTCACCTTGGGATCATCGATATTGGCAGAGTTCTTCGACGGAGATTGAGGGTTGCACGGAACGGAGGATTCGTATTTTGTTTTACACGATCAATGGAGGAGGAGGAATACATTGAAGACTATAATGCACGGTATGGAGTTTGGATCGGCGACTATGAGTTCGCCGGGGCACCTCCCTCTTTTCAGAATCAGACGAGCGAGAGAACTTAGAAGACGTCTATTGGTTTGCTTTTCATTTTCAGAGTTTTCATTCGTTTTCTTAGGAGAAAAATAAATACAATTGAATGTCAAATAAATGGAAAAAGAAAACAATCAAACGACTGGGGAAA